GTCCTCTCACCTGGCCTTCCTCTCTTCCCAGCGTATAAGACGACTACCGACTTTTGAGAAGATTTTCTGGGGTTAAAAAGTTGTCTTATACACCAGAAAATACGGTACTGCTGACTTACTCTTACATGAACAAAACAACAAACAAACAGCTGGGCCTTTGTGCATAATGAATGATAGAGAAACAAGACCCTGTTGAAGAGAGTCAAACAAGAGAGATATTGTCTTGACTGGGAAATGTAATGTTCCTTAGTCAACAAGTCAGTCAATTAAATTACACATTGGCTGAAGGACCATTACAATGACAGCAGTGCTTGAAAAATCAAAATAAGGGATTGTTTGTCTTAGTCTGCTCCAGAATCTCCAGATCTGAATGGAAGAGTTTCCTTGTGAAGATTTCATCCTTATTTCTGAAGGACACTTCTATGTGCACACTTGGTTCATATACATGTGTTATATTCTACTCTTTTTGTTTTTTGTGGAAGAAACTATTGTGTATGTTGTGTGCCTTCAAATCATTTCTGAGTTATGGCAATGCTAAAGTGAACCTATCATGGCGTTTTCTTAGCAAGATATGTTCACAGGAGGTTTGACATTGCCTTCCCCTGAGATTGAGAGCATGTGACCCAGTGGGTTTCATGGCCAAGTGGAAATTGAACCCTAGTCTCCAGAGTTGTAGTTCACTCAAACCATTATGCCATACCAGTGACGTCACTTGGGAGGTGTGGGGGGTGCATGCCACACCAGGAGACACCCTAAGGTGACACCACTGTTCCTCAAACACCTAGCTTTTGGCAAAAATGGGCTGTAACATTCATCTGCTTCCATTTTAAATGCTTTAAGAGATGGGGGGAGTGGGGGGAAGCTCAGTGGGAGAAGAAAGGAGAGGCCTCCCAAAATTTTATTTTTTTTTAATTAAAAATTGATTAAAAAAATATACTTTTTAAATTTTCTTTAAAAATCATCACATTTTAACCAAACATTCACTATGTGTATGTAAATACATTTAGGTTGTGTATATGATATTGTAATTAGAAGGTATAATTTTGCTAGTTGTTTCTGTCACAATTATTAGCATTACATTCAGTGGTATGTGGGAATTACAATTTATGAGTAACATTAGTGAAAAAATCATTATTAAGGAATGGTGTGAAATGGGAGGAGGAAGTCAATGCGGGGTGACACCATGACACCATGAGTTACCACACTAGGTGACACCATCCCTAGGGATGCCATTGTGCCATATTTGAGACTATTATCTTCATTCATATCAAATTTAGGAGCAGCTTTGTTGATTAGAGTTTACATTTTAAAAGATGTATTACTACCATTATCAGGCCAAATTAATTTTGCTGTTGTTGTTATTTCAAGCTAATTCATTATTGTTCCTTTTTGGTTAGCCTAATAAAGTGATTACCACAATATGGCTTTTGGAAATAACTCTCCCCAGGCAATCCACAGGCAATACCAATTTTTTCTTGGGTTTCCTTTGTTCTTGTGTTAACATACTCAGCAGCGATGATTGCTGACTCCCATGTGCCAGAGCTATTTGGGAGACAGGGTACAGCACCTTGGGTTATTCTTTTTGTGTGTTTTCAAGTCATTTCTGACTTATGGTGACTTTAAGGTAAATCTATCATTGATTTTCTGGGGCTGAAAGTGTGTGACTCACTCAAGGTCACCCAGTGAGTTTCTATGGCCAAGCAGGGAATCAAACTCTGGCCTCCAGAGTTATGGTCCAGCACTCAAACCACTACACCACTCTGGCTCTCATAGGACCTTGGATACCTCCTTAAAGTTCACTGATAGGGAAGCAACCAGCCCCCACTGATAACTCACCAGAAGCCAGATGAATCTTCACCACAGACAGGGGCATGCAGAATTGTGGACCCCAGTACAAACACGTCACAATCAACCTGAGGATAGGATCCTTTCACACTGCACACTTGTAGCACCATTTTAATTGCCATGGCTACATCCTATGGAATCCAGGGATTTGCAATTTGGCGAAGCATTAGAATTCTTTGCCAGAGACCTCTAGTGACTTTGACCAAACTGCCATGGCAGTTCTTGTTGAATCAGAGTGGTATAACTGTGCAATGAAAGGGCCTTTAGGGGGTTTACAATGTCTCAGGATTATCAGGACAAGGAAAGTCATATTATATTCTATCAGGTACCTCAAAAGTGCAGGAATATTTTCTTTGCTTTAGGGCTTCTGGTGAGGTGCAATAGTAACTTTTGAGAACTGGCCCTGGCCCTCCTCTGTCAAAAACTATCTCTCTTCACCACCTATCTAAGGAAGGAGGTATTACTTCTTAGTTGAACTATGCGGTAAGATGTACCTGATGGAAGACAATTTATGCCTTTGTGGGAAAGCATCAACAAAAACCAAACAGATGAATGGGAGGGGAGAGATTGCTCCTAAGCATTAGGAAGAACCTTTGATTGTAAGAACTGTTCAGAAGTGAAATAGACTTTCTCAGAAGGTGGTGGACTCTCCTTCATTGGAGATCTTTAAACAGTGGTTGGAAGGTCATTTTTTAAGGATTGCTTTAGTTGTGCATTTCTGCATGGCAGGAAATTGGACCAGATGGCCCTTGTGTTACCTTTCAACTCTGTGATTCTGTAAGAAGTCTATTCTTTAAAATAGTGAGGTGCTGAACAAGCAGAAAAGATGGACATTTCAAAATTGATGGTAGAGAATGTTTTCAACAAAGAAAAAGACAATTCAGTTATGAAAGTCATCGCCTCAGGCTGCAGAGAGGCAAGCAACTTGTCATTACGCGAAGGGAAACAGGCAATTAATATGCTGAAGAATATCTACATCTAATAATTAACTCTAATAAAGATTCACAAACAACACAAAGCATTATGCTTCAGTGCTTTTTCAAGCTGTTGAAGAAAGAATTCTAAGAGACAGTTAATGAGTGGCAACTGCTCATTCCACTACTACACCAGAAATTGCCTGGATTGGAATATTTAAGACTAACATGGCTCTGAAATCCTTAGCACTGAAGAAGAGCATCCTCTGCCCAATAAATCTTTACTAGACAGAGACAATGACAATGAAAAAATCATTTTTGCCCTGCCTCGCCATGCTAATTGCAGAGCCTTATATCCAGACACTTCAGGGAGTATGAATTATGTCCTTAACAGATGGAAGACAATGTTTATTTAATAGTGAAAGGAAATGTATGTATATATAAGAGACTTCAAAAGCTAATGCAAAATAAAACCATCATGCCATGGTAAAATGATGTTTTGAACCCAGGAAGGTTTATTTTATTAAAATACCTGTATAATCATTTAACACAAAGTGTGAAAGATTGTCAGTCATTCCAACATCTTTGTTAGCTACAGAAGAAGGTGGAAACATATCTGCTTCTTAAGAAATACTGGGCTAAATTCAATTTTATTTCTACACAAAGTAGGCCTTTTGAAATAAATGAGATTTATTTGTAGTGAGCAAGTCCTATTTATTTCTATTTATATCTAGGTAAGACTATCATTGTATTTAGCTCATTGGAGGCACTTTCTACACGTGCAATTTCTCTATGTGTAGAACAAAAATCCTGCATCTATTTCCTAGGAACAGAGTTCAGAAAGGTACTTTAAAAATAATTCATTTGATAACTCCCCCCATAGGATAAAAAGGGAATGGCATAATATTGATAAAATCTGCTCAAAATGACTCTAAAAATGCCCCTGAAAATATGTCCAAAGAGGTAATGTGGAAATTTTACTTCATTTGACATACGCACACCATTCCTGCTCATCACCACTTTTGAAATGCAGCATCATTTTATACAAATAAATAAGTAAAGCCAATGTATTACTTGTCAGCTATAACATGTTACTTCCTAAAGCCCTACTCAAAAGTAAATCTCAACAGTCTACCAGGACGGGCTCTTTTTTGCTCTTTTACAATAAAAGAAGCTTGCTGAAAGTTCCAGGTTTGGATGTTTGGTTCTAAAGGACTGTTTTCAACAAACCATCAACATTTATCCAACAATAAAGACCTTGCTCCCCTACATAAGAACTATGAGAAATTTTTCTGAGCCCCAGAATTTCTAGCATTGGAGGAACTTGAAATTTCAGTTGAACATTGAGAACCAGACATTGAAAGAAAATGGGTGGGCAAAGTTACCAAGGGAATTCAACACAAAGCAAATATGAGAGTTCTAGATGTGAATAATTTTCAGTGCCTCGCTCTCTACAATGCTAGAAATTTGGTAACTGAAGGAAAATTTCAGGGGAGGATTTTTATTTGGGGGATCAAAACCTTGATTTTGTTCCTTCCCAGCTACACCCTTGAGTCCCACTGAGTTCAACTGAGTTACCCCAGACAGACCTTGTCAAGTTGATTTCAAGAAGAATATACTGTAATGATTTTCTGAAGCCATCTATAGTGAGTCATGGGAAAATGATGCTCTGAGCCAAGGAAGAGATTCAGAATTTGATCCAAAGGATAGAAAGAGCTGGTTGTCATTTACTCAGAGGTGACAGCAATGCCACTGTTGCTGGATGAACTCACCAGTGGTTCCACAAGGTTGATAAACTTCATGGGGATAAAAGAAAGTCCTCTGGAATCTCATAGCATTATTGTCCAAGGGGAAGAGCGATCATTGTGCAGCACCACTTTCTAGAGGTCAAGCAGGTGTTTAAGTGAGTGTGGAACTACAACACCACAGCATTCACAACAAACAACTCAAATAGTTTTTAGTGGGTTTTTGGGGCTGTGTGGCCATGTTCTAGAATAGTTCCTTTCTGACATTTTGCCAGCATCTGTGGTTGGCATCTTTTCTGAAGATGACAGCCACAGATGCTGGCGAAACATCAGAAAGAAAGTCTTCTAGAATGTGGCCACACAGGCCAAAAAACCTACAAAATATTATAGATGCTGGCCATGAAAGCCTTCGAACTCAAACAGTGTTTTCAGGAGGATATTATGGGTGATTAAAAAAAATCAGCATGGCCATACTCCTCCCACCCTCTGACAAAATAACCCCACAGGGCTACCAAGCCAATTTCTATTGTATTCCAAACCCAGGTGTGAAATTCATCTGAAATGGCTGTCAAAAACTGGTGCCAATAGGTGACCCCCTTCCTTAAAATAGCAGGTTCAAGGACTAAAATACCCTTAAATATCTGTTGATGCCCCAGTAATTAAGAGATACATTCCCTTACTTTCCTGATGTTATCTGAATGGTTAAAAAAACACCAACCCTACCCCTTAAAAGCAAAGTTTTCTTCTTGAGTCATTGAATTAAATTTATTAATTTATTTATTTTTGTCAAGAATTTGTTAAAGTGTCAAGAAAGGAAAAGAAGAAATGCCTCACTTTGTTTTAAAACATTCTGGATGGAATTCATTATTAAAATTTAGAAAATGCAAATACAGTGCAAGTTTAGAATGGAACTCAACTCAGGTTTAGAGTGGAAAATTGCTATCTAGAGAAAACTGCTTTGAGATTTTATAATGATTTTGCTATAGAAATAGCTGTCATGTTACCAGAAAGATTATGGTTGGGTGGGTAGGATACGACAAGCTGATGATGTATAGGGAGGAAGTCTTTTCAGAATTAGAAATCCATGACAAGAGGAAGGGAAATCATAAAAGGTATACTTGAAATCCATGCAGTCACTTGGGGAAAGGGTATTAAGAAATCTTTTAAAGGGTTTCTTATCAACATTTTCTTCAGAAATTACAGTGCAGTATAATTTAGCTAGCTTTCATTTTCCAGTTTGGTATCTTATGGTAAAAATGGATGTTCTCTGCCAAGTCACATTAAACAAAGGGAACACATGAGGGAGCTCAAAATATGAATAGTGGGATGCTTCTTAGGGCCCACAAAACTACAGGTGGGGTTATCTGTGTAACCATATAAATGTAAGTGGCTTAGCAAAACTGAAGGCTGCAATGCCAGGTATGCCAAGATACTTAATAACAACAACTTAATAGGACACTGAAAGCAAACCTAGGACTGTGGAGGAATTATGGAGTATAATGTTGTTATGAGATGGGTCTTACTAGGCAGAAAAGACAGACAGAGATTTGTGCTGACATCAGGTAGTAAGTATAAGCCCAAAAGCTATGAATGTTAAAATATCACCTGAGCTTCTGCCTCAGCTTATCATAAGCCCCAGAGAGTCTCCACTGTAACCCTTAATGACACAGACATAACAAATTATTGTACTGGAAGGCTGCTACTGAGCATTATCCTTTGTACTGAATTGCTGTGGCCCAGTGCTCTTCTTGGATACTGCATCACTAAACCTGCCTTAGGACCTTATCACATGCAAGCCACAAAGCGATAATAAAGTGAAATAAGAATAAATCCAGTAATAAA